AGGCAGTGCAACAAGAGCTGGAAAGGAGCCTCGGTTACAACACACTTCGGTGCCCACTCAGGAACAAGCTAGAGGGAGTTCCTACACTATCTAGAGCAGGGGTTGGCAAACTACAGCCCCCAGGCCAAATCCAGCTCTCTACTATCTTCCTAAATAAAGTTTTATTAAAATGCAGTCATGCCCTTCATTTGGGTATTGTCTGTGGCTGCTTCTGTGCTGCAAAGGCAGGGTTGAGTGGTTGAAGAAGAGACTGTATGTCTGGCAGAGGCTAAGATATTTATCCTCTGGTCCTTCATAGAAGAATTTGCTGGTCTCTGGCCTAGAGGACTTCATTCACATAGACCACAGTGACAGGGATCACAAACCTTAGAGTCACACAGACCTGGCTATGATGGGAACAGTGCCACATAGAATTGGGAGTGTCCTGCCGGTTCACCTGTAAATGAACATGATCCCTGTCTGAGAAGGATTTCCTGCACGTTTTGGGGGCTCAGGAGAGGGAAGAAAGCAGCGTCTGTGAAATGTCAGCACCTCACTGGGGGCCGTAGTTCCTGCTGAAAGTCAACAGCATGAGGCTGGGGAGGCTCTGAGCAGGCGAGGAGGTGAGTCTAAATTTAGACTTTCCGAAGCTGCTTTGTAAACCAGAGCCTCAGGAATCCCAGAAAGGACAGTTGGCACACACCACCTCGTCTCTGGTTTGCCTCCACATGTTAGAAGGTTGGATGCATGAGAGGATAATTAATTGGCCTCAAATAAGATGTTTCTGGAGAGCCAGTGAGAAATCAGTGGAGAGGTGAAGTGCTGGGGTAGATATTTCTACTCCTGTGTTTGTTCCCCGTGGAATCCAGGGAGCCTGTACTGCCTTCTCCTTGCTGGGTGTTATTTGAGCACAGCTGAACCGATGACCTTTCTTTCTCTCAAGGTGAATGCCAAGTCCCTGGTTGAAAGTCACACTGTGATTCAGAGCAGCTCTGAGCCACCAGCTCCAAATGGAGACTGATGCTGCTTCTCCCTGAAGCTCATCATGCCAAGGGCTGCCATACTCAATCCTCTGCCCAGGCGGGCACACCCAGATGCCAGGTCTACCCCTCGCCAGGATGGATGGGCCCACACCTCTTGGTATATCACACAAGCAATGAACACTAACCCAAGACTTCTTAGGTGATAGGTGTTCTGTAATCAGTCCATATGTGGAAAAATCAAAGGGTTGACAGTAGAAATTATAGAAGAACCAGTGGCCCAGTGCACGGATTCATGCACATTGAAAGAAAATTAATTAGAAGAAATATTTTAATATCACTATTCGCATATTCTGTCCACAACACCACTTTCTTTCAGCTTCAGAATGTCAAAAAAACCAAATTCATGATCGGCAATGACAGATTGAAACACATGCGTGCAATTGGTGGCAGAGAGAGCTTTATATGTATCACACATGGGCAAGTCAACATTTATTTTTAAATTGCCAGTGCGTGTCATATGTACTGGCCAGTTGGTCAGTCGGACGGTGGGACGGACGGATGGTCGGTCACTTAGCCTTTTATATATATAGATGATAGAAAGAAGCTTAGAAAATGAAGAGTTCTGAGAAGAAATGAATAGTAGCAAACTCAAATGGGAACAGATGAAGACTGCCTGGTCAGTGTTGACATTCTAAGAGAGGCAGCATCGAAGCCGAAGATGATGCTAAGGGGGTTGAAGTTCAGAAATGCTGGTTTGTCTGAGTGGCTGGGGCTAATTGTGAGAAGGGTCCTTTTGAGCACGTTGCATTGGAGCAGCAAGCACAGGAAGGGGAGGCCTAGGGAATGTGGGCATCACAGTGGAGACATAACCGATGTTCCTCGGGCACTTCCAATCCAGTTATTTTCCGAGTGCTACTTTGAACCCTGGACTTAAGCTTAAAGTTTAGTTGGGAGGTGGACATGTATCAAAAGTTAAATAACAGCCCAAATGAGGATATGGCAAGTGTCAAGTACAGTATACACAGGAACGCCACAGGAGTTTGGAAAGGGGAGAAGTGTCACTGAGGACTGGATGGATGCATCACAGAGGAAGTGGGACTTTGCCTGGATTCTGAGTGATGGGCAGGGTTTCAACACGTGGGGAGGAAGCAGGAGAACATTTCAGGAACCAGGAAGGTGCAGAGAGTCCAGGCAGGAGCTGAAAGAGTAAATTTAGAGGCCCACGAGGAAGGTGGAGAGGGTGTGCAAGGTAACCTGGTACCTGCCCGCTGAAGCTGACAGTGTGCTGGGAATCCACTGAGACACACACACACACACACACACACACACGACAGTCCCTCCGCCCCTGTGAGAGGAAAAGGAAAGAGTTTTGAAACATAAATAAAGCACCTCTTAATTATTCACAGATTATCTGCATTGCAGCTGATCTCACACAGCTGATCCAAATCCTGCTTTGGGCTTGCTGGTGATGTCATCTCTCTGCTTAGGTGCCCATTCCCGTCTCTGTTTACAGCCCTGTGAGGGCTGGAACGGGAAGAAGGCTTAAGTCTCTCCTCAGAAAGCAAAATATGTAAATATAAATGCTTCTGGTTGCTGTGCCCTTGGGAACCACACCAGGCACATGGGGAGAAAGTGAAAGAAGCTCCAATTTAGGTTCTGTTACCTGCCTTGGGCAGCAGGGTCAGAGGAGGCATGGAGTGGGGCCCTGGGGCACCTCTCTTGTTCCCCTGAATCAGACATCCAGGTGGACTTCACTAGCACAGATGTTAGGCCGTAGCTCAGTGGGTGGTCCCAGCGCTGACTCCAATTGGCTGGGAGTCCTCAGGGTGAATGGTATTCATTTATCATGTCATCCCATGTTTATTGACCCTCTCTCTGTAGACACACTGAGCTGGTATTCTCGGAGCCTCGGTGCCCTCATGGGCAGATGAGGACTTGCCTCTCAGTGGAGGGGCTGGCCTTGGGGTGGGTTCAGGTTCCTCACTGATGGAGATGCTCTGCAGGATGGTTAGCGAATCGGGCCCTGCTCTCGAAAGGCCAGTAGTGGCTCCTCCTCAAATGAGCCTAGGAGGGCAGGACCACCCCCGCTAAGGACCCGGGACCTGTCTGCTACATTGCCCCCCAGTCTGAAATTCTGCAAGTCGATGGTTATTTTGCTGCGGGGCCCAATAAAAACATGCAGAGCAGGTTTGCTGAGGGTTTGCTGAGATACCAGAATAGTTGGAGCTACTTCCTATTTAAGTGTAAGGGGATTTTCAACAACAGCAACAATAGGCAGCATCTATTGAGCAAGGACTATGTCCCAGACCCGGGGCAAATTTCTTTCATTAGGAGTTTTTAGAGGGGATCTGATTATTTACTACTTCGTATCATCAGTGTCCCCTAATTTGCCTGCTTAGTTTCAGAGCACTGGCCATTGTTTTGCTTCAGTTATCATTTGCAGAGTTGTGCGGGGTTCAGACCTGAAAGTATCCCCACAGGGCACCCTGCCGTGGGGTGGGAACGCAGAAGCAGCCCTGGCTAGATTCACGCCTCTGTTCTGGACACGGTGTTTGTTCTTTGTGAGTCTGTGGACTTAATAAACTTATAAAACCTGTGACTTCCTCAGGCTGAATTTATATCGCTAGTTTTGCAGTTTTTTTCTCCCCCCTGGGGTCCTATGCCTGTAATTGGAGTCAGCATTCACCGGGGAGCAGTCAGGATTGGATTTGACCCATTGCTTTGAAGAGCTAGGTCCCCATCCTCCAAGAGAATACAGTCCACCATGCCAGCCCTGGTGTCACGCTGAGATGCTGAGCTGGGCAGAGAGTCCCTTTACTGGGGCAGCAATACAATTTCCTTGCAATTTGGTATGTGTGCTTATGTCATCTACATGGAAAGCAAGCGACGCCATTGTAATTACATTGCTCATTTGCATATTAAGTTATTAAAATATTCAAAGACATTTGCAGAAGAGGGAAGAAAAGGGGTCCAAGTGGAAGAACAAGATGATTGATCCTTTATTCTTTGCCTGCTACTGGTTACTGTCCACTCTCACCCTCCCCGGCTAGTGCTGGTGTGTGTGTTCCGAGGGCTTAAAGAATGAATTTCTCAAAGGTCAGAGCTGATCATTCCCTCCTACAATCTGTGAGTGTTAACCTTCGGGGAGCAGGCATTTACATAAAAGGCACACCGCTTGATGATCTTATCAAATCAGTCCATCTTCTCTCTTCCAGGGGAGCTGCACACAGCAGGAGGGGGCTGGGCGCCCGAGCCCGGAATCCCCTGAGCAAGCAGTGTTTCAGTGGCTGGACAGATCAAATAACACCAGGGCTGGTTAACAAAACGCGCTGGTGGGAAGGTGTTGGGAGCTGAGTGTGGAAATTTACCAACGTTATTTCTTTGACAGGGAAGGAGACTCCGTGTGAAAGATGCCGGGTTCCCGCAGCCTCTCGGAGTCCAGCAGAGCACAGTCTCGTTTGAAGAGGCATGGATGAGGGGGTGACAGAGGATGCTGCCCCCTGAAGCCTCCAGAGGTGCCTGGCCTGGCAGCTGAGCTCCCCTCGGACCTGGGACTTCGGGTGTAACTTGGTGTGCAGCTCATGGGAGGGGCAGGGGTTCTCCGGCTTTCTTCCCCGATGACCACCAGCTGGTTTGGGCTGCAGGATCTAAGGTGAGCCGGCAGAAAGGGGAGCTGGCAGAGGTAGAAAGAAGCCCCGAGGAGCCTCCAGAATCCATTGTTGGGATCCCTTCAGTCTGCCCGGGTCGCAGAGAGCAGCTGCGAAGCTGCCAGAGGCTGTGATACAACAGAGCTTCGGACCATCGTCAGTGAAGGAACGCAGAGCAGCAAAAGCATTTCAGCCCGAAGGAACTTCTTTCAACAAAGGACTTAAAGGGGAGAGTTTCTGCATCTTTACTTTGTGGTCCCTTAGGAGAGAAAACTTGACGTTCACATAGATAACGAGACCGGTTTCTCTGTCCAAGATGCTCCCTGTGAAAGAAGCATGAGCCATTCTCAGCGTGGGGAAGGGCTCGGGACACGCAGGAGTGGGTGGACAGCCCTCCCAGGGCTTGTTAAGAAAACAGCATGAGCCTCCAACTTCTGCAGCTCAGCAAGCATGGACATGTGCCACTCTTGTCTCCAGGGAGCTGGTGGCAGTGACATCACCACGAGAAAAAGCATCCCTCAGCCTCGGGACTTGACAGAATGAGGTGTGCTGGGGAGGCCACCAGCTGGGACCCGGCCTTTCCCGACCGCCCCTCCGTCCCACGGGCGTCCCCTGACCACCACTGAGCCAACGATGGCCGAGAAGGGGGACTGCTTTGCCAGTGTCTACGGCTATGACCTCGGTGGGCGCTTTGTTGACTTCCGACCCCTGGGCTTCGGCGTCAATGGGCTGGTGCTGTCAGCCACGGACAGCAGGACCTGCCGGAAGGTGGCCGTGAAGAAGGTCACCCTGAGCGACGCCCGCAGCATGAAGCACGCCCTCCGGGAGATCAAGATCATCCGGCGCCTGGACCACGACAACATCGTCAAGGTGTACGAGGTGCTGGGGCCCAAGGGCGCCAACCTGCAGGGCGAGCTGTTCAAGTTCAGCGTGGCCTACATCGTGCAGGAGTACATGGAGACCGACCTGGCCCGCCTGCTGGAGCAGGGCACGCTGGCGGAGGAGCACGCCAAGCTGTTCATGTACCAGCTGCTCCGCGGGCTCAAGTACATCCACTCGGCCAACGTGCTGCACAGGGACCTGAAGCCCGCCAACATCTTCATCAGCACCGAGGACCTCGTGCTCAAGATCGGGGACTTCGGCTTGGCGAGGATCGTCGATCAGCATTATTCCCACAAGGTATGTCTGGCCGGAATGGCGGATAGGGGTGGCCCATGGGATCCTCAGGAAGCACGCAGTGTTCCGGAGGGTATCCCTAGCTCCCTGGGAATCAGCGGCCTGGGGTGTGTGTCTGGGGGAGGCTGGAGGGTGCTAGAAAGATCACTGGCCTGAAAAGTTGTTGAGGGGGTGGTTTGGGTTCTTGATTTTGGCTCTGCCATGTGGCCATGACCAATAACTCCAGGCTGTGCAAGAGGGGGTTGGACTGGATTATCGCTAAGATTTCTTCCAGTTGCAAACTCTGTGACTTTAAAATTGTGCAGTTGGTGAATTTGCCTCTAGCATCCCCCAATGAGGCTTCCACCACACCAGCTTTATGCGCTGGTTCATCTTGCCTCCTCCTCCTCCTCGTCTCCCCAACAAAGCTGACCCACTCTGTGTCCCATTCTCTCTGTCAGTGGATAAGTTCAACTGATCAACTCATCCTCAGTGTCCATTATCCAACAAATGGCTCAGCTCTCCCAGGTCCCACAATGCCCTGGTCCCTGAGTGTGATGAAGCACGGATGTCTGGGTGGTACTGTTGAGACCCCATGTGGTGGGTGGCTAAATGCAGAGATCAGAGCTGACCCCTCCATCTGGAGGAGATACTGACACTCCTCTAGACCTCTTCTTACCTAACGCACTGCTCCCTTTAGGAGCTGGAAATTCTCTGAAATTCTATTCCCCTCACCCCCTGGTTCCTGCCATTTAGGGGAGCCTCTGAGCAGCTCAGCCTGAGCACACGTCACCAGGTTCCCCGCACCAGAGCTGGGGGATGAGTGTCATTTCCAGCCTCCAGCCAACACCTTCGTGCCACACATTTTTATTAGAATGAAAACATCCTCTGGGAAGTAGGTGCACCATAAACCGTATCAGCCAAAGGGCTAGGGTGGGTCATGAAAGGGAAGGGTAGCTCCGACCTTGAACATGCTTTGGCACCCGATTTGCCTGCAGCCAGAAGGTCACAGATGCATAGAAAGGCACTGGCCTGCCTGGTGCAGCTGCAGCGGGAGGGTGTCTGGGGGAGAGGGAGGCAGGGCTCCCTGTCCCACCCTCACAGGCTAGAACTTGGGCTCCAGCCCAGATTTCAGAGCCCAAATCAGCTCAGCTGGCTCTAGCTCCTTGGTGCCGCCTTAGCCCTGAGACTGCCCTGTGCTCCCCTCCTACAGCCCGGCCATCTGTCAGAACTGACAGCCGACTCTGTAGGCAGGAGTGTCCATGGTAAACAAACAAACAAACAAACAAAAACGTCTTCTTGTCACCCTAATGCCCGGTGCTGTTTCTACCTTCTCTGTCCTCTAAGAAGCAATGACTCCAAGCAATTGAACCAAAGAGTTTAACCCAAATTAGTTTTTATTTGGTAATAAGAGAGTCCATGACACTCTTATTTCTGTTACACAAAATCGCCTTCTGAATTGGAATAATCCAGTACACTGGGAATAATAATAGGGCCTTCCTTGATTACAGAGTCTGAGTAAGTGAAGTATTTCAGCTCAGAACAGTCCCTCAGGGACAGTCAGGGGAGGTGATTTGGGGCAAAGATTGGCTGTAGTAACCATTCCTGGGAGGGGCACGGTGCGAGGAAGGAGCGCTATGTGCGGAGGCAGACACCTGGGCTCATTTCTGATGGTGTTAAGTTGGGATGTGGATGCTCCCCGCCTGGGAGCGTCAGTTTCACCTTCTTGACAGGGTTGATAACACACGCCCTGTCTGTCCCACTGGCTTGTGGTTATGAATCAAAGAGGAGGATAAACGTAAAGCCCCTTGGAGAGTAGTGAGGAGCCCATCCATTCATTTCTTGAGTGTTTTCTGAGTGCACACCGGGCCCAGGCCCAGTGCTGGGAGCTGGGAGGGTCTCTGCCCACGGACAGTGACTGGCTGTTACCGCATTACACAGGGCAGGGAGCCACGTCTCTGAATGGGACTTTCATTTTCCTCATGCAGGGGAGTGTAAATGCTCTGCCTTACTCTTGGTGGGCTCTCTTCAATCAAATCAGCTATTGGAGTTTTTAAAAAAATCACTGGAGTCACTTGCAAGCCCAGTAGGTGTTCACGTCAGTCCTGTGTTTGGCAGGGGCCACCTACCCTCACCCACCTCCTCCCTCATTACCTTCTGCTTTTAGCTTCCTCCCTTCTCTTCCCTGAGTGATGACGGAGGCTTGACATTTGATGCTTTTATTTACATGAAGTGCATTTAGTGAGTCCGTTCTCATCTAATCCTCAGACTGCTGGGAGGCACTTAGGAAAAAGGGTCCATTTTAAAACAGAGACCTGGCTTTCTCAAGCTTCCTTGGCCAACAGTGGTCGAAGGGGCTTTGGAACTTGGGCCTTCTTGTGTCTTGATGGGTGGTCTTTCCGTGAGCCATGTCCTTCATGAAGGCTTTCTGGATCCCGGTGGGAATTGATCTTTCCTTCCTTTGAATTTCCTTATCGCTTTCTCTCCATCCCAGACCCTGGATCTTCTAGCACCGACGACCATTCTCTGCTCTGTCTTACGGGTATTTATTAGTGTCTGTGTCTTTTGTGCTCTTCTAGGCTGAGAGCCCCTTGGTTCCTTGTGGGCCATCTCATGTTCATCTTGGTTTCCTCCAGGGAGTCTAATCACTGTGCCTGAGACATGGCCAGCTGACTTGGTTGGCTGCCTTGAACAGATGGAAGACTAGTCATTTACCAGCACATTACTGATGGGAAGCTAGTTGAGTTCATTGATTCCATGTGGTTAGAAGGTTTGACTCTCAGAAAGAAAGCACATTCAAGGGAGAGGCATTAAAATATATGCCTTCAAATCTTAAATAGATGAAAAATTAGCGTGCAGTGTAAGCATGTATAATGAAAGCCATATATATTATCAGAGGGGGAAAAAGAGAGCACATAATTCTCCCAGCCAATGGATTGGTTGGGGTGAGATGTGTGCATCGACTCCCCCTGGTGTGCATGGAGGAGGATGTTTACATATGAACTGCTCTAAATGTAACCCCTCCTAAAGTTTTATGGGTCCTACACTCACCTTGAAGCGGTCATGCTCACCTGGTCTGCAGCTAGTGCCTTGGTGTGAGTTACAAAAAAAAGGTGCCCCCTTTTGCAGGCTGATTCAGCTCAGTGCCTGTGATTGGCTTCGTGATCCAAATGGGGGCTGGACTTGGTCCCTCGGCCAAGCACGACCCACCTAGCACTAAGCAGCAGCTGGAATCTTGCTGTCTTCATCATGACTTTCTCACGGGTGGACAGTAAGTCTCATGAACCTGCACATCCCCTCCTCTAGCATGGAGTCTGGCACGGGTAGGTGCCCATTGTGTTTGTCTGGTGAAGGAGGTGCCAGAGAAAACTGTCTTCTCTTTAATGAGCAGCTGGGAGCACTGGGGCTCCAGTCACAGAGCGCATTCTGAGCACATGTCCCCTACCACCCCACCCCTGGTGGTCTTGGTCCTTGTGATGTCCAGAGGGAACTAGAGGCCTCCAGCAGCCCACACTGTCAGGGATATGGCAGTGGTGGCAGTGGGGTGCTCTGATGGCTGTCTCAACAGAGGCAGCTTGGGGAGCATGTCTCTGTATCATCATTACTCACCTCACTAATTGCATGACCTCGGACAAGGCCTTTTCCTTGTGCGGCTCACGAAGAGATCTGTAAGAAGACCTCACAGTCACCTCATTCATTCCCTTCATTTCACAGATGATAAAACCGAAGCCTGGAAAGGGAGAGACCTGCCCGAGGTCACACAATGAGTGGCTGAGCCAGAAGCACAACGCCGGTGCTTCCGCTCCATGCCCACGGATTTTCCTGAGCCTCTCTTCTCAGTTGTCTTCTCTGCCAAAGGGGGTCATCGCTCCCATTCTGATGACTTCGTAGAATTCTTGTTAGAGTCCAGTTGAAAGTGTGGAAGTCAAAGTGCTTTCAGATGTAGGCTAGATCCCTAACAGAACCATCTGCCCATGAAGTGCCATGTGACAGGATGGGGAACAGGCATACACCAGATGTCAGTCTCCCCCCACACACTGAAATATGGAACCAACTCCCCACATGATGACCAGAGTCCTGAGGCTTCCCAGCCTGTGGTCCTGAGAGGAACCCCTGCTGCCCACCTCCTTGGCAGGTGTCCTGATTAGTTCCTTACCTAATGCACTAGGGCAGTGGTCGGCAAACTCGTTAGTCAACAGAGCCAAATATCAACAGATTAAAATTTCTTTTGAGAGCCAAATTTTTTAAACTTAAACTATATAGGTAGGTACATTGCTATTAACTTAATTAGGGTACTCCTAAGGCTTCGGAAAAGCCACACTTAAGGGGCCAAAGAGCCGCATGTGGCTCGCGAGCCGCAGTTTGCCGGCCACGGCACTAGGGTGGGTCATGAACTAGTGTTTATGTGGAGAAGAGGCAGGTGAAGGATCAGAGCATGTTTTCCTTTGAATTTATTCTATTAGGAAGCAGATGATCTCAAAAGAGAAAAAAAATGTTGTTTAAGACTTCGCTGAGCCCTGTGTAAATTCTAAGACATGTCAGGAGGCCCCAGGAAACTGTGCAGAGGGCTGGGGAGTAGCGCGTGACAGCCTGGCTCGCTGTGTGAACACTCCCCTCCTGGAGGGGCCACCGTTGGCCAGGGGAGGGAGCCACCTGTCATCCTCACTGGGGTGGCCAGGAGACTGCAGCCTTTCCCGGGGCAGAAGACAGAAAATACCCAGGGAGAAAGCAAGATAGGAGGCCCATCAGAAGTTGGGCAACCAAAGGCTCTTGTGTTTTGGTGGATCATTTGAGAACGTCTGGCCTGCCTTTGGGTCCTGGGCCCTCTCTACTCTGGGACCCTCTGTATTCTTACATCCTTCACGATCAGAACGCTTTCCCACTTTGCCTCTGTGTCTCATGGAGACTCCTTAGAAACCAGCCAGTGCAGGGGTTCTCCCAGTGGGTGCTGGGCCAGCGGCATCAGCTTCACTTGGGGAACTCATTCGAGATGCAAGTTCTTAGATTTCATCTCAGACGGACTG